GAAGAGATATTTGTGAAAAAAACATTCCAGAAAAACTAATTTAAGAAAGTGAAACAATATGGAAATAATGCAGACTATGAAATAAAATTTTTCATCAAGAAAAAAATCCTTTCGGGTACGTATCAGTCAAATGGGGAGCAAAATTATTTAAATATTTTATTAATTATCTCTAAGAGCAAGACTTTCTGCAAAACCAAATAATCAAGCAATTAGTGGTCACCAGTAACTTAACTGATGGTTGACTGCTTCTCCATATACCATTCTTGTTGTTTTTTCCAACTTCAGCATTTCTTAAAGTCGTCTAAGAAGCTATTGTTCTCAGTTTCAGTGCAAATAACTTCTTTCCTCATATTTGATAAATTAATATAGCATTTTACACAGCCATCAGAGGACTTACGTTTTAAATTTGTTTTGCCAAACTACAATGTGACATAATGTATTGCTACAGAGAGCCACAATTATGTTACCTCCCATATTTAAAAACAATGTCAGATTTCTGACGTTACAAACTGCATGAAAACATTTTCTTCTTTAATAAGAACATTTATTTTGTCTTAAAATCACTGAAAAATGTCTAGATATAGATGTAATGATTGATTATAGAAAAGTGAATCCTTTTGTTGAGGTAAGTAGGACAAAAATCACTTGGTACTGTAACACCATTTGATACAATAACTGTACATATTTACGATATATAATGTATTGTCTTGATTCGTATATACATTGAATGATGACTGTATCAGGGTAATTAGCATATGTGTCACTTCAAACTTTTAGAAAGCTTTATGATGAATATATTCAAAACCTTCTCTTCTGTAACAACTGATGGTTGACTGCTTCTCCATATACCATTCTTGTTGTTTTTTCCAACTTCAGCATTTCTTAAAGTCGTCTAAGAAGCTATTGTTCTCAGTTTCAGTGCAAATAACTTCTTTCCTCATATTTGATAAATTAATATAGCATTTTACACAGCCATCAGAGGACTGACATTTTTGAAATTATTTTGAAATGTGCAATCACTATTGTAAACCATATTGATTCACCCTTCTGTACCATGTGCTGTAACATCTTTTAAAAAAAATGGTGTCTAATATGACTAACTTCAATTATCAGCTGCTAAATTTCATGGAGTATATATATTTGTCTTGGAAAGCAGCACTTTTTAGCATTCTTTCACTCAATTTTCAATTATCAGTATGAATTTGCATAAGCTAATCATTTTATATATATATATATGATTTACCAGCTATAAGGAAATCTTATCTTCATAATTATCCAGTATTTTCTTTCTTTCTTTCTTTCTTCCTTCCTTCCTTCCTTCTTTTTTTTTTTTTTTTTGAAAGGTTTAGTAAGCATTCTAGTACTGATATGCTCAAAACATTTGTAAAATTTTTTTAAGAATTCCCCTACTTTCTGTAGGAACACTACCCAAGACACATGAAGGCAGGTATCACATTGCAACTATTGAAAAGCATGGGACTAAAACAGCTTCCTATCCTCAAAGGGCAGCAGGTCCCAGAAGTCTCTGTTGACTAACTCCTATCCAACATCTGAGCACATAAACACAGTTATCAATGTCCACTGGTGCTAACTCAGCACAATGGCAGGCAGCGTGCATGGTGTGGCAACAGTGGAAAGCCCAGAGGATGAGAGAAAAGGCCAGGGACAGGAAGGGACACACGAGACGGCGTTACAGTACCTGAAAGCCTGTGAGAGCAAGAGGAGTAAGAGAGACCAGGTAAGAGAGCGCTCACGGTGTGGAGCAGGAGCGGGACGCTTTTAGTGGCAGGCAAAGCCTCAGGGAGGTGAACACAGTTGCTGATAGACTGGCTTCGCTTAGCTTCCGGGAGAGATAAAGTGATATCATGTCAGAAGCATATCAAGACCTTTCACTGCTTATTATTCTATTTCTGGGCTCTCCTTACATATTGAAAGGAGGTCATTTTAAACTTTAAAGGAAGTCAGTACAGAGTACAGTATTTAATCACAGGCTAAATAAATACAGCCAACTTTCAGTCAGTCACTCTGAGGAAGGAGTGGGCAACCCCAGGGAACCCATTTTAGTCCACAGTGCCTTCTACACTAGGCCTTCTTCTACTCTGCATCAGTCACATTTGGGCTGTTTCTTCAGGCAGACAAGATGATCCCTTTTCCCTCCTGCGGGTCACACATAGGCCAGGGTGAGAGGAGAAAATAATGTCTGAGATGAAAATCCTTCTATATGGAACAAGTAACTCAGAAACTGGTTTGCTGAGAGATGACTGTATTCAAAGCAACTCTTCTGTAAATTAAGATATCCTAAAGGATCAAGAACACATGAGGGTCAAGTTGAACATTAAAAGATTCAGTACATGAAAACAATGTTAAAAATATGCATAAAACACCCTGCTGTACGATATTTCATACTTATTAAACACATATTTTCTTGGTATCTTCTTCATGGTATTTTCTAAGTTTTCTGTATACTAGTAGTAAAAAGAAATATTTCAGGAAATGGGTGAACAGAGGAAGGAAGAGAACATGTTTCATATCGATAAATCACACTCTATACAACCATTTCATCCTTAAACATACGTATAAAAGTTTATTTTGCTATATTATTTTTATGTATTTCTATTATTTACATGATAAAACAAACTACAAGTGAAAGTGGCAAAATTGAAAAAGTGAAACAAATCTTTTACTTTATTGTTCTCCCACTTTGCCTATTAAAATTCTCAGCAAGAAGACAAACCACATCGTGATTACAGTGTGAGCCATGTAGAAAAATGGCATTAAAATGCCAAACTGGAGCCAGAGAAATAGCTTGACAGTCTAAGCACCTGCCTGGCAAGCACAAGGACCCGGGTTTGATCCCTGGTACCTCATGCCATGCCTGCCCCAGGAGCACTGTGCTAGCCAGGAATGATGGCGCACACCTGTAATCCCAGTGCTGGGGAGGCTGAGACAGGAGGATCACTATGAGTCCAAGACATGTGGCAAAAGCCTATACCAAAATAAATAAATATATAAATCTTAAAAAAAAAAAAAAAAAGCCACACTGGCTCACTTCAAATTTCCTAAAAGATCTGTGCATCTCTCAATATGTCAGGCTTTCATTTAAGTATTGCTTTAAAAGTTTTCCTGTTAAAAATCAAATGATTCTCCTTTCCCTAAATTTTAGAAATGATAAAATATGGAATGTTTTGTGTGAAAATGTTTCTGTAGGAACACTACCCAAGACACATGAAGGCAGGTAACACATTGCAACTATTAAAAGCTCTGGTCACTCACACACTTGAAACATCTCAGTTCTGACCATCATTTAACCCTGGGAAGGAGTATTTCTTTAGGACTGCTCACCAGGTCTCTGGGGTTGGCTTGTAGTACTCTCTCTGTTAAACTCATGGTCATTTCTCTACTCTGCAACTGTATGAATTGTATTTTAAGTTTCACCTTCATTATCTTTCAAAGGTTATGTTTCCAATTTTTAAAAATTACAAGACACTGCTCCAGGGCCAGGCTTGGTGGACATAGACATACATTCCCCAAAGGCTTTCCTCTGGGAGCACTAACAAGCATGACTTGGATGGCTGAACAGTGCTGAGTTTTGGGGGTTTTTTTTATTTATTTTTTTTTATGGAACCAGGGATTAAACTCAGGCCCTTGCACTTGCCAGGGAAGCACTTATTCTGCTGAGCCAACTCCCCGGCCCCTTATACTGAGTATTTTTAACACACTGGTGCCTCTACCATGCAGGTAGTTTACAATACCTTCTGGGAATGGGGTGCAATGTCTTCAGAGGCTGTATTGGCCACAGAGTGGCACAGAAGTACTGAGTGTACAGTAACCTGCTGTTGTTAACATGTGAGACTAAAGTTTAACAAGTGCTTTGCAAAAGCACTTTTATTGTCACGGGGATACAAAGGCAGCATGGGGCAAAGGAAGTCTGGGCCGTTCAGGTAAGATGCTAAGTTTTGTCAAAACCTTCTGACCTCCTTCTGTGAAGGATCCAGGGACAGAAGAAAAGTGTTTTTAGGGATTAGAATGAGACAGAAAATTAGTGAATCAGTGTCCTCAAAAGCTGCATGGTAGCAGGAATGAATTCCCTCCTCAGGGGATAGTATGAAGGAGAGCAAGAAGATGCAGAACAGGAGGTTCAGCTAGGTAGTGTGGTAATTACCACCAAACGCTTTGCCAGAATCATGAGGCCTCTGAGTTAAAGGACATTTTCATTAAAAACTCCAACAGCATTCTAAATGATCTTTATTAATCTTTCAATAAGCACTACAAAGAATGGTAAACTTGCGTCTTTACTTCATGGCCAGGGGGACTTAGGATTTTCTGAAGTCAACATGCTGAAAGGCAATTATAATTGCTTGGTATTATCAGGAAACTGAGATGTGGTTACTTTAAACATACGCTACAGCCTCAAAGCCACTGCGGAGAAAACCATTCGTACTCATTAAATATTGGCTGTATACTTTAAGAGTTTTTTTCCTCTTTGTATGTATGAGTAAAATTCAGCACAGCAGTAAGATCAGCTAGTTCTTGGTCAAGTTCTTGTTAATTCAAATACTCTGTAAGACAACATCCATCCACAGGCACAAAAACTTCAATTTTCCAAAGAAGCAAAACACAAAAATGTCTCTATCCAGTCCTGAAAAGTGAGTACATCCTCCTTTTTCATCCCCAGAATGGTTACAGGTTCTTTTGAGATCATCACTGGCTTAATGAGGATAATAATGTGACTAATGGGGCATTCTTCAAAAACAACCCTCTATTTCTTCTATTTTATACAAATGTCTCACTCAGTGTTAACAACTGAAAGTGTTTTTCACAACTGAGAGCTTTGAGGATTAAATATCAAGAGCCGTGATCTGAAAAGTAACTAGAATAGATGCCAAAAATATGGAGAAATGTTTCACCTAAATTCTGAGTAGAATTTTAAAACATTTTATTCCTGAAGTCCCTATTAGATAACAGCTACGTTTCTCAGAACTATTTAAATCATCACTTACCAGTTGCCTTTTGGCGGACATTGTTTCTTGCCTTTTCTACTCCTGGTGCCCCAGATGTGGTGGCACTCCTGAACCGCATGGGTTCAGTCACGTCTGGGTGGCTCCGCCAGCTGAGAGAAAAGGATCTTCCTACAGTGGTCCCTTTCTGTGAATCCAGAACACAGCCTATGGACAAAAGGTGAGAAAACAGTCTGAACGCTGAACTCATCTCCATTCCTGCATGCTCAGCCAGGATGTACACGGAGCAAAAGAGAAAAGCAAACTCCTGCTGCAGACGAGGGACACTTCCCCACAGCACAGTTCCAGTGGGTGACAGGCCAGCAACCTGAAAGTTCCTGTCACTGAATAATCTCCATCTTCATTATATTCACTTCAATATACAAAACAATGTATTAATAACCCTTTCTCATACAAGACAATGTCAAATAAAGCTGCAAAACAGTTCCCAGGACACTCCTAAAACCACTACTTATAAACCAAAACCTCAGAGATCCTGGTGTGAGAACAGCATTGCATCCTGACTCCAAATCCTTCACAAATCCCCAGGGAAATCTGACCATAAATCCTAATGGAGACTTGGTTGAAGCAATAAGATAATGAAAATCTATAAATAACATAACACCTTGGGGCCGGGGAGATGGCTCAATGGAATAAGCGCTTCCCTGGCAAGTGCAAGGACCTGAGTTCAATCCACGGTTCTGGGAAAAAAAAAAAAAAAAAAAAAAAAAAATCCACATCATAACACCTTATTTTGGAAAAACTCCAAAAACAAGATAGCACTGCAAGCAGAAATTCACCTTCTCTGTCTCTCATATTGTTCTGATCAATTATTTCAGAGAAGTCAAGAACCCAAAATATAGGAAAAAAAGAGGCTTCAGATTTGGGCCCAGGTAGGTGTAATGAGCAGAGCAGCCACCCGTAGCTTGCTTTCACCACCAGTTCCTCTGCCTGTGTTTGTGGCTGTCATTCTTCTACTGCTTAGTAGTCAAGTGTTCCCATAATGGATATTTAAATCCTACTTTAGAATAAAGCAATGCAAATTAGAAACACATATAATGATCACTGTTTAAATAATTTGTTCTGTGCCACTGTGAAAAGTGTGTTTGCAAAGGGGGAGGGGAAAGAATATTGCAGTACAGTGAGGGTGTGCATGTGTTCCCAAGTGCACATGCGCACCAGCAGGGGACCGTCTATGGCAGTGTGCTACTCCTACAGGCGTGGAGATCTGCCCTTTGCTGCCCAGCCCCGGGCCTACCTTTGCCCCGCTGCTTCTTCTCTGTCTGCTCACTCAGCTTGTCCAGAGGTAGGTTTGTCATCTCAACTCCATACACAGTTCTTGCCAGCACCGCAGTCAGAGAGTCCATGATGTTGGCCCACTCGATAATGAGTTCCTCCCACTCAGTGAGGGAAGATAGCACGCCCAGAAAGTCGTCCCAGAGCTCCCGAGAGATGAACACACAGAGGTTTGCTCGGATCCATGCCACGATAAGCGTCTAAATCCAACCGCCACAAGAGAACCAGACAGGGAGAGGTGTAATACTGGACACGGTAGCTTGTTGCTATTATTAAAGTTGTTAAGATGAAAAATACTTTGGATGTAGCTTTTTAATTCTCAAAATTCATTTAACTGCAATCAGGATTCGGTTGTCACAGTGCACACCATGACAGGTCCAGTACTGTTCCAGAGCATGTGCTGGCCCAGCTGTGATGGGGAGCCCTCCTGCTACCTCCTGGGTATGAGTGCCTGCCCTGCTCACCAGAGGGTCCCAGGCTGCCTCTGCTCCTCCTCCAGAGGAGAAGAGCTCCCACAGTCCTGCTCCTCCTCCTGCAGAACATTGCTCTTCCCTTGGCTACAGATCTCCCTGGAGAGACAGACTCAAAAGGAGGCAGCATGCTCACTCCTTGTCCCCACCTCCCCGCTTCCCGGACTCCTGGACCACAACTCCACTGGGTCTGTGCACACAGAGCCCAAGTAATACCCTAGCCTCCTGCCTTCTCAGGCTCCCTCCAGAGCTGCACTCATGAGGCCAGGGCCTTGCTGAGGGTGGTGGCCCCGACTGGACGGCGGTGCACTTCTGGTTCTTTGCATGGGCGCACCCTGTCCTGCTCTGGCCGTCTCCCAATCTAATGCCTACTCATCTTGCAGGTAGCAACATGAACTCCTGTCCTCCAGAGATGGCAAATTACACATAGATGTTTTAAAAGATAAAAAACTTCTAACACAGACACAGGAAAACTGAAAAATATGAATCTGTCTATACTTCGGCAGACCTTTTCTGACTACATGAAAAAGAATATTTAAAGTAACTTTATAAAAAACACTTCTGTGTTTTTCAATTCATGTTTACTATACTTTTAAAAAAAATAAAAATGCAAAGTAGAACCACAATAGTTATAAATATACATACATATATATATATATATATTATCAAAACAATTGATTTAAAATCTGGTGCTAATATGAATAAATTTTTAAGATTAAGAATCATGTGAAAGAAAATTATGAATACTTCATTGAATATTTTTTATTATTATTAAAATGTCAGCTTCTAGCTGTTCATTTATACACTGCCATTTTCATAAGGAGTTTGAGGCCACTACCAGCAAGTATATGCATACAATAAAAACGATCCAAATATAACAGTAAATACTGGTCTAGCAATGAATATCAGTGTGTTATAAGATAGTAAATACAACCTCAACAGAACAGAAAAGAGGAGACACAGGATGTGGCTTGCGTGTGGGGAGCCCAGAAGACCAAGCCAGCTGCTGGGATGCAACAGGAGGCCCCGGGCAAAGGGATGCTCTGGCCTCACTTTGTTGATTAATTGTAAAACAAGGAAGAGATGGTTTCTGGCAGCTCTGAGACTACTGCTTCTGAGGAGCACTGACAGGTAACAGCTGTAACCTATAACAGCTTGCGACAGCATCATATACATGGAGCGATGGTGAAGGGGGGTTCAGAATGAGGAGAGAGGCTGGCCTCTTTGCAGATGACAGTGGGAGTCCTTCTCATCAATTCTGCAAAGGAGAGGGAAGGACAGAGACCCAGACAGGGTTGTGCCACTCACTTCACATGACCTGGAGCCAGACTGGCCTGGCACAGTTCCCTCAGACCTAACACTGCTGCCTAGCGCAGATGCTGTGTACAAACACCAACCCTCCAGGTGGGCATAGTGACACCTGCCTGCAATCCTAGCATGCAGAGGTTGAGGCAATAGGATTGTAACTTTAAGACCAGCTCAGACTACATAGTGAAACTGCCACTCAAAATAACTAAACAAACAACTAGATGAATTTTAAAGACCTGGCTGCCCTACACTGCCTGCCCACCTCTGTCACACACCAAGGCCCAGCTGGAAAGAGCAAGGGCACCTTTGGGGTCACAGTCAGCACTGACACAGATTAAGATGTCACTTCGGGCAATTACTTTAACTTGGTAAATATTTAAATTTCCACTGTTTGAAGAAATTTGCTACCTACTGACAGAAAAAGATAAAGTCTACAGGAAAGATCAAAAGAAGATAAAGTTAATAGTAATTTAGAAATTCCTTATCTTCTTTAATAGTCTAAAAATTAATTTTTTTTAAAAAAGCAAGTACCTGGACATTATAGACAGTTATGCGACCAGCGAATCATAATAAGCACACTTTCTCTGCAGCATGGCACAAGACAATGCCACCTGACAGCCTCCTGAGCTGTCCACACAGCTCCCTTCCTTCTTCCTCTGGGTCTCACATAAGGGCTTGGGAGGTCAGCAGATGACCATGAATCCCAAGAACCCATACTGACCCAGCACCACCCCCAGTGGAAGAAAGGAGTCCTCTCTTGACTGCACAACAGCCATGAAGCCATGAAGCCCAAAAGTGCCAGCAGCCTCCCTCCGAAACAACTACGATGACCTCAGAATCATAAACATGAATCCAAAAAATAGTCTCCACAGAAGATCTCACAAGATTTCTCCATTAATGAGGAAATTTTCCCCTAAAATCCAAACAAACAAATGAAAAGCCCCACAACTGCAGACTGCATTCTTGCTTAATTCTGCACCAAGTTCACTCTCTAATCCCATGGCACATAAGGGGCAGGGCAGACAGCTGGTGAGGGGAGGCCTGTGAACTGGCCAGACAGACAGTGCCTCAGCTCTGGTACACTGGGCAGCAGGGCCTGAGTGCTTAGGAGGGGGCTGGCCTCTAAACCTCTGTGCAGAGCCAGGAGAGCAGAGTCCCTACGCATGGGAGGGACAGCACTCAGCTACAGCAAAACAAAGGTGGGCAAGGGCAAAAACACGTGCAGGATCCTCTGCACCCCACAAAGTAGGTGAGGCCACCAGGGTAAAGGAGAGATATTTAGGAAGCAAGTAACTGTCTGCTCTGCAGCTTCACAGTCCTGTCAGCAAGCCAAGATCATAATCACACTAACATTGCTAGTTGATATGAACAGCTGGGTCTTCATGGGTTACCATGGAAACATTTAGCTTTAAAGAATAACTTCTCTTTCTGTCACCTTCACCTGCATGTGCTACCTGCTAGGCTACATCTGTTCCTTCCAGCCAACTGTGAAAGGATGGTAGTGTCCTCTCCTTGCTCCTAGGCAGGCCAGCACCAGGTGTACCATGCTTCTTCCCCCAGCCATGTCCAACACCTTTACTCACGGAGAAAGTCACCTCTTTCCAAAGCCCTTCACACTGCTTTCTTTCTGAAATGTCCTTAAGTTCCCAACCCCCTCAACTGTGGGGAGTGCTGCAGTGGGCCTCTGCCCTGGGGCCTGGGTGTGTCTACCCTCACAGGTGTCCCCCAAGCCAGCCCACTCACTCCTGCTCCCTCCCTGGTGCTGGAGAGCCACAAGAACAGAGTCCTGCCTGACCTGCTGTGTGTGGGAGGTCAGCCCCGTAGTTCTCCTGTCTCCCACCGTGCTGTCCTCCTCTGGACCATCACACTGATGAGCAAATGCACTTGGTGCGGCCACCCTAGCCCTACCCACACATGCACTCTGCCACACCCAGGCCTCTTGCAGGCCTCATGCGTGTTCACTTTCTCCACTGCCTGGCTTGCATTTTCTCCTCCACTTGCTCATTCTCAACTGCCTACATAAGAGCCAGAGGTCTCCTGGCTACTGTCCTCTTCTCCCGGTGCCCAGGCACCCACCTCTGGCTGTCCTCCAGCTTGTTGGCTGCCCTTTCTCAGCATCTGGGCCTGCCTCCCTCCCTTCTGCCAGCTCTGGAGAGGTCTTTTCTCTGGCACGTGTTCAATCCCTAGAGGATGCATCCAGACCTGGGGCTTAACCACAACCTCGGAGCATACTGATGGCGCTCCAGTTTGCACCCATTCCCAGCTGCCATTTATCTTAAACCTCTCCAAATCTAATTGCTCTCCATCAAGGCCTTTGGCTCTTGACACCTTTGAAAGTTCTTCCATCAACAAGCAAGTCAGGAGGAAGCAGATGGCAAGAGGGAGGAAAGCCTAAAATCCAGTACTAATTGCATTCAGACAAAGCTAAGAAAGAGTATTTCTAAAAATCCAAATTTAATTTACTGTTATGCATAACATTCCAATGATTAACAGTCTTTTGCTTTAAATTTGATTCATTTCTTGCATTTTCAGTTTTAATAAAAAAGACTTACCCTAAACAGTAACCCTGCCAAGCTCTGGGCAAACAAGTCCTTTATTTGTTTATCCTTTGGCTTCTGCATGATAGCTTCTGTTATCCTGAGTAGTATTTGCAACATCTGCTCCCTGGGCCACCCAAAATAAAAGCTCAGATTAATAATTACATCTCTAAAGCACTTTACAGGTAAGAGAAATACTTTTAAGAATTCACCAACATTGACAATCATGTGTCATTCTAAATTACTGAAAGTCTATATTCTACTTAAATAACAAATACCACATTTTGTCAAAACAAGCTGTTCTATGCTGTGACTATACTACAGATGTGCCTCCCAAATCCACGCCAACAGGCAGGATAAGAGCTCCTGCCTTCCTGACTCTCCCTGCAGAAAGGACAGTGAGATGTGGAGGGGCAGCGCCAGCACCCTGGAGACACTGACTCCAGTGGGAACCAGCACAGCTGTCTTCAGCTTCCCACCCACGAGTCTACTTAACCTGGCACCTTCCTGTCTACCTTAGTAACAGAAAATGAAGTTCACTTTCTGGTCATGGTTCTGGGGACCCTGCAGTTAGTGTCACAGCACAACTGAGGTCCACAGTCTTGGTGCAGGCAGAGGGCTGGGAAAGGTCGCCCAGCCAACACACATGTGCTGGGGCCTGGAAGCTCTGACTGCACCTTATGCCCAGCCAGACAACCTGGCTAGGACGCTGCAGTCACGCTGCCCCAGCACGGCAGCTCTGGAAGCAGAGGTGCAATGTAAAAGTTCTCTGAAGAGCATACAGATCATGCAGATGACATAATACCACTAGTCACAGTAACAGCGGCTTGGGACAACAGATAACTTTTTCTGTGTACAGCTGGAGTTCTATTCCTCCATCCTAGTGTCTGCTCAGTCCTTCTTTCCTGGGTTCTACAGGAACACAGCACCCATGGTCTGCCATGTCCTCCCAGGGGAGGCGCTGGCTTCTGGGAAGTGTTCCCCATTAGCCCACACAGCTTTATTGCTCTCCTTGTAGTAAAGCAGGTGAATGGACAGAGCAAGGCAGCCAGGGTGAGACGCCCTCTAACTCCTGCTTTAGCTTCTCTGCCATGTTCTGTTCCCATCATGTGCAATGCTACACCTTGCCGGCCTCTTCAGGGCACGGTGACGCAAGGGGGCCATGTTCTCGGCAGCTGCTGCTGTCTCAGCCCTGGGCCCACACTCTCCAGGCACTCTACTCCACTTGCTCAGCCCTGCACATCCAGGGATTGTGGAAATGCAGAGGAGAAAGAGTGACCTTGTCACTGGTGATGTAGGCACAACTCTGAGGCAGAGGATGGAAAAAAAGGGCAGTGTGCTGTTCTCCAGGCAGGGTGCCCAGAGCCTGGTGGCAGAGGATGGCAGTACCTGGTGTCACTGCTGCCTGCCTATGGCACTCTAGGCTTCAGACAAGAAGCTTCACAACCATAACATGAGTTCAGTAAGAACCAGATACATCCAGGGTTCTATAAAAGATCTTGGCGGCGAAGCTTGTGTTAAAGCACACAGGCTTTGGATTCTAGGATCCTTGGTCCTTCCACATTCTAGGTCTGGACCTAGAGGAGTGAGGAGTACAGGAAATTCCTACATGGCTTCTCCTGTAGTTTGGAAACCCTTTCCTAACACAGGCAGGACATGCAGAGTGACCAGCCATCAGTTGGGATCACTGCTGCATCCTTGTGTTCCAGGAAACGCTGGCTCTTGCAGAGTCCTCCTTGAGGCTGCATTCTCAGTACGACACACGGGATGGGGGGTGGGGGAGGGCACCCTCCCTCAGCCCTAGAGCTGTGCATATCACCTCTCCCTCCACCTGGGGCCTAGAGAGCTTCTGGGAAAATAAGCTGAGTATGTGACACTGGTGCTCAGGAGGTCACAGCTGCTTCCTCCAGAGGCCTGTCCTGGGCTGCCCCAACTTCTGCCTCCCTTTCCCTCTCCTTCCTGGACGCACAACCTTTGACCTTGTCCTCCATCAGGGCTCCTGCCTCTCTCCTCCTACCAGGAAGGCTCCTGAGAGACCTAACCTGGACTGCTCACTCACAGCCCTGACACACACCCTGAGACTCCCTGCCTCCCCGCCAGCACTGAACTGCCTGAAGCTTCTGTTTACTGGGTTGCAGCTCTCCTGATGCAGGGCCTTGTCCACCCAGCTCCCCACTATAGCTGCACAGGTGGCTCCATAGGTACGTACCAGACAGAAAGAAAAAGTTCAAAGAGAGGAAAGGACAAGGGCAAGAGAGGGAGGGAAGATAGCAATCAGCTGGTACTTAAATATAGGGGAACATCTCTCTGAGAAGCAGGCCAGTACCTTTCTGTACTCTACTATTTTTATGGGTATTTGCATCTATTTTTATAATTTGTCTTTTTTTGGGGCCAGGGAGATGGCTCAGTGGAATAAGCGCTTCCCTGGCAAGCGCAAGGGCCTGAGTTCAATCCCTGGTTCCACAAAAAAGTTTAAAAAATAGAATAATAATAATAATTTGTCTTTTTATACTTTTACATGGAAACCTCTGAATTACTAAGAACAGAGCACAATTGCTCCTTTTTATTTCTGAGGGATTTCACCAAAATAAGAAGCCTATCAAAGTATCAAAATGTTACTGGAGGCATGGTATTCAGAAATCACAGTTGTCACAGGAAAGCATGAAGCAGTACCACTGATACGGCAGCAGTCTGAGGAGCATGCCACGTCTCTCAGCTGCAAGATGCCAGCATCTTTTTGCCCCTCCGTTTAAATGCTTCTGTGCACCACTCTAGTATTCCCAGCTTTCGGACAGCTTAACTTGGCAAACTGGAAAGATGAAGTTGGAATTTGTAGCTCCAAGTCATCATTTTGACACTTGCAGTTTGTAAGCCAGGGCTCCTCAGAGCCCGCCTTTCCATGGATTTCAAAAGGAAAGGGTTAGACTTGATGCCTGGCTGCCTCCTTGCCCACCAAGTGCACACAGACAAAGCACCATTCCTGCTGGTGGGGTGGCAGGGGAAACTCCGGGAAGGGAAGGCGGCTGCCAACTGGTATGTGGCTGTAGAGCTTGGAGCTGAGGCACAAAAGTGCTGGTACTTCCGCTGGGCAGGCTGGTAGGTTATAAGACAATGGGACAGACCTGAGAGGCAGCTTAAGGCAGAGCTGATCAGAAGGGAGTAGGAAGGAGCAGCAACTGCAGGGTTTCTGGTCTGCTGCTGAGAATACAGAAACACCTAGCAAGATGGAGTGGTATGCTCCCAGTTGTTACAGGCTGAGGACGGGAAATATCTAATGTACTGTTTACCTTGAAGAAAATAACTAACAGAGAAACACAAAATGAGAAAAGGGAAAAAAGGAAAAAATAATTTTATGAAGATACTGAAATTCTGACTGCACTGCTTAGTCATTTTTACAATCATCATTTAAAAGAATCGTTTTTTCAAAGTGAATTTAAGACATCAAATTGAAATGATAAAAATCCATTTGCTGCATTTCAGAGCAATTAACCTCTCCTGGGCTTACAAAGAATGATAGCATAAAACACCACACTACTTTTCCACAGAACTATCTGATGACATTTAAAGTGGATGGCATACTTTGTGTCTAGATGTCCCCTCTAAGCTTCATGCTGTCACAGGGCAGCTTCTAGAGTTTGTGATTCTTTCCTGACCCAATGCTGGGATTATGGGTGTGAGTGCTACACCTGCTGTGGGGCAGAGAGCCTGAAGGCAATATAAGGGTGGGAGAGAGGCTGGCTTGCTCCCTGCTGCTGCTCCCCTCCACCGCCATGAGCTGCTGCCCTCTGCCACATGCTGCCCTGCCTTGGGGCCAGCTGAGTATGGACTGAAGCCTCCACAAACTGGGACCTACATAAACCTTTCCTTCCTTCATTTCGGGTGTCAGGTACTTTTTTTAAGCAACAAGAGAAAAGTAACAGAGACAGTAGAAAAAAATCTACTATTAAGTAATATGACTATTTAGCTCAAGAGCATTTTAGCATAATGAAAATAAATGAACTATCAAAGTAATAAGTACTTTATCTTCCTCAAAATTCATAGAGACTGTTACAAAAGACTGATTATAGTTTTATTGTCAACTTTGTAAAACCATTAAGTAAATGGAAACTTCAACATTTTAACTGAAAATAAAAACATCTGTTTTACAATAAGATTTGAAATAAACTTACCACGTCTTTTTATTCATTGTAAGCTCCATTATCATACGCCTGAAAATAATCAGGACTGCTTTGCAAGCATCAACTTGTTCTTTTAAGAGAACAGGAACTTCAGCACAAGGCTCCAGCAAAAACACATTTGCAGCGTTCGTCAGAAATACCTGGCATCAGAAATTTTACATTAGAAAATAAAACTAAACTTACACAGCCGAACAAATCTTGCCTAAACATAATGATGCCACTTTCACCAACTTAACAGGAGAAACCGATGATGCAGTAAGGTACAAAATCTAAGTGGATTCTTTTTTTTTTTTTAAAGAATAAAAAAAAAATACAGAATTTCAAAACAAGGTAATAGGAACTTAACAGTGGTCATTATATTGCATATTGGTATCTTCAAAATAGTTGCTCAGATTATCAGGTACAGGCATGCAAGACTGATCAAACAATATAAGTACTAATTATTCCTTTCAGTGAACTAATAGAAATTAGTAGTACAGTTATCTTTTCCCCTCCTTTTCTCCTTTCCCCATCCCAGTTGTTTTTTCCTTTCCAGCAGTTTCTTTCCCTTTCACAATGTCTACTGTATCTTTTGGATCTTACTCTTTTAGTGTCTTATACTACAGAGACAATACAATGTTTACATATGTGGATCTGATTTATTTCACTTACGCATATGGTCTCTAGTTGCATCTAATTATCTATAAAAGCCTTGAGTTTGTCTTTCTTTAGAGCTAAATAATACTCCAATGTGTAAAAATACCACATCTTTTTTATCCATTCCTCAGTTGATGGGTATTTGGGTTCCTTCCAAGATTTATTTATGACAAATTGTGTTGATATAAACATGGGTGTTGATATAGTGCTGCAGTATGATGTTTTTAATTCTTCTGGGAAAATACCCAAAAGAAAAATAGTTGGATTGGATGGAACCTCGAATCCTAATTTTTTGAAGAACCTGCACACTGATTTCCATAGTGGTTGTACCAGTCTGCACTCCTACAACAGTGGAGAAGGGTTCCTTTTCCCCCACAGACCTGCCAGCATTTATTACTGGTTGATTTTTTGATGATAACCATTCTTTCTAGAGATGGAACCTCTGTGTTGTTTTAATTTGCATTTCTTGAATGACCAGTGATAGTGAACATTTTTCACATATTCACTTTCCATCTGTATTTCTTTATCTGAGAAATGTGTATTCATCTCAGATGCCCATTATTGGATTGGGCCTTTGAATTTTGGGTGCCAGGTTTTTAAAATTCTTTATATGTTTTATTTTTAATTTTATTTCTTTTTCTTTTTCTTTTTTTGACAGAAATGGGATTGAACTCAGGCCCTTGTGCTTGCCAGGGAAACACTTATTCCACTGAGCCATCTCCCTGGCCCCTCTTTATATGTTTTAGATAAAAGTACTTTGTCTGAGGGACAGTTGGCTAAAATTTTTTTTCCAATTCATGAGTTTTCTTTTTAACTCTGTTGGTGATTTCTTTTGTTGTGCAAAAGAAATTCTTTTAAGTATATTCTTAAGACAAAAACAGATTCCATAAAATTTTACATCACGGCTGACTACTGTATGCTCTACAGTGGACCTTTAGGAGCCACTGCCCTCTACCAGCTGGATGGGAAAATGTGAGAGGGTACTCTGATGGCTTATGTCTGGATGTCCCCCCAAAGCCTCACATAGTCATAAGTGGGGCTTTCTCAGAGGTGGCTGGATCTAGAGTGTGTGACACTAGAATTGATTCATGGTGCAATGCTAGACTCAATGGTATTAGGATTAAGGCTGTGAGTACTGCCCACCATAAATAGCCTGGATAAGAGGTAAAAGGATAGGAAGAGCTGAGGTTGTCCTTTATTGTTTTGCTACCTTCTGCTTGCCATGAACTGCTTGTCCTTTGTGATGTCACCCTACCTTGCCACTCTGCCTTGGGGACAGTCAATTATGGACTGAAATCCTTACAAATTGTAAGCTAACTAAACATTTCCCCCTTTAACTTTGGATGCCAGATATTTTGTCTCAGCAACAAGGAATGTATCTACAACAGGCCCTGAAACTAGCTCTCAGGTAGTAAGCTGCCAGAGGAGTGAGACCTATAAGGACAGCATGAGTGGCCACCATCTTCAAGTATCCTGAGCTGCTGAACTGATGAGGATGGGTCAGCTCTGCCTATCTGGAGGGATATAACTGTTATGGTTTCTCAAGAGCCTCATGTAATCTTTTTGTGGGGCTTAGGGCAGGTGGTTGGGGTATAGAGAACTTGCTTTTAGGAGGGGGGATCAGGTGGAAGGGGTGGCTCATTGAGGACATGATCTAGAAGAGGTTACCTCTCTTCCCAGCTGCTCCCTTCACTAGTCCTGTTTTTGGTCTGCCATAAGCTGAGCAGTTTTTCCTCTCACATATCTCTGGACCATGCCTTCCTGCCCTGGAGCCAGAAGGCTGTGGACTTAAAAACATGAACCTAGAGAAATCTCTCCCCAGTTAATGTGTGGGTCTCAGACACTGTGACCCAGTAAAAAGAAAGGGTCCAGGGCCAAGAAGATAGTTCAGCGGCCTGAGCACCTGCTTGGCAAACATAAGGTTCTGAGTTCAATCCCCTGAACTACAAAAAACAAAACAAAACAAAACAAAACAAAAAAAAAAAAAAAAAAAAAAAAAAACAGAGAGAAATGGCCCAGGACAAGGTCCTCTTAGGTATCCTTGTGCTCAGCAGCATATACAGAAAGCATGTGGTAGTAAACATGGTCTCTCTATCTCATTAGTAGATCAAACCTCAAAATAATGCTCAGGTTCACCCACTGATTAAAACCAGCATACTCAAAAGGCAATCAGATCAACCAAAATGTCAGCAACCTTTGAAGTTATATTTTGCAACACTAAAAAGATATCATGTCACAATTTTCCAGGAAAGCCTATAATTCCAGCAACTGATGGGCTGAGGCAGGAGGATCATTGCTAATTCAAAGCCAGCCTGGACTACATAGTTCAAGCCTAGCTTGAATTACAGAACCAATCCTATCACAAGAACCTAAATAAATAAATAAATAAATATCCAGGAGAAAATAACTACATAATGACTATAATAGATGGTAACAGATGGTTGCACCAACAGGAAAGAATTTACTCTCCTTTGAGTGTGAAAAGATATATAAAACACTTTTAAACTAACAAATTAGAGTAGTTGCAGGGAAGCTTCAGAGACCATCTTTTTAAAAGGAGTACACCACAAGTGATACACTATAGCCAAAGCTGTTCTTTGCAATGCTCCACATGGTACAGATTCTATTTTACCTGTTAATTCAGGCAAATACTTTAAAACTACTATATTAGTCACTGTTCATCTGAAACATAGGCAATTTTAAAGAGGAATATTACTTAAAATATTATGTATTGAAAATCAGAATCCAAATAGCTACTTACATGTATTTGGAAACTATTTTGGAGATTTAAATCCTAGATACTTCACATTCACTGTATAATAATCCCTCTCAAAAAACTGCAACCAGTTTTTATATCTTCTTTAACTAGAAAATAATCTTACCAATTGCAGGTGGAAAATTAGAAAGAAACCTCAGAATGAGAAGGGAAGAGCTATCTCTGCCTGATGGCTGAGAAGGTGGCCCCAGCCCACGAGCACACCTGCAGCACAGCCTGGGACCCGGCCTTCACACTGGTGCTGTCCTCCTCGGCCACACACCCTCTGCTCATGGCACTCGTGAAGGAGTATGTGCGTCCCCAGCTGGAAGACCGCTTATGACCGGAACCATCCGAGGAGGCCTTTGGAAAACAACAATCTGTTACCAGCATGTCAAACGCATGTGCTTGCGCACTGAGCTCCTTACGCTCAGCAGAGGCCACGGTGGAGGCTCCAGGAGCACAGGTATCTGCTGTTTGCTCACTCCTCTGCCTCTGGCACCACAGCCTGGTATGTGCAGCAGGACGCGGTCATGTGTGTTCAATGTCTGGGGAGCATGGAACAGGCCGCACACACACACGGAGCCTGCTTTCTCCCTTGTGCATTCTGACCTCATGACTAATTTTTAAAATAACTTCACCAATGGTGAAATGTCACAAGTATGGAACTAATAGACATTTAAAAGTAATATGCCTCTGGTTAAGAACTTTAAACATTTTAAAATAGTTCCAAGACAGTATACTAGGAATATGAATACCCTTGTCTCTTTTGTGTTGCAGGAAAGCTATTGCACTCTGTCTGTGGTTTTAGATTTACCCAGTCTCCAGCCTCCCCGACCACGGGCAGTACCAGAAACAGACACACACACACACACACACACACACACACACACAGTGTGGAGGGGGGCTGTAGCTGTACTCCTTTCAAATGTGTAAACCCAGCTGCTTCTGATACAGTCCACTGCACAAGAAACATTGCCCCAAGCAGTCTAAATTTAGTTTCTCCAAATGCTACTTATTTAAAACAAGTCAAAAAGAAGGCAGTGATTTTTGAGTCTTCTCATACAGAGATGTGCAAGTCTGATAGTTTATGAAACATCTCTCTGTGACAGTGACTATCAAAGTTGTCATGTACACATGGCCCTTACCCATGGATTAGGAGATGATGTCTCTTTGACACAGGTCCCCACTGCAGTCAGCAATTCCAGAGCCCCAGAAAAGGTAATAAAGCTTCGCCTACCCACGACTGCACAGTGGGACCCTGGACAGAGGTGGGAGACTGATCTAAAACCCACTCAACTCAAAGGGCAAGGAAAGGGGTTACCTCTTTGGCGTCAGTCTCTGAAACGCCTAGTTTTTCAGCATCTTCTTGGGCAACATCATTTTTATCTGGCTCCTCCATGAACACAGGCTTTTCCTGGAGGATCCATTTTCTGTACACCTGAACTACTTTCCTAGTTACGGCTATCTCACAGGAAGGCAACAGAAATGCCTGAAAGGAAAAGGAAACTCTTTTAATCCCACACATGCTCAGGCCACAGGGCTGATACTTCCAATGACCACTGACTTTTCAAAACACGTGGCTCACAAGAGCTCTACACAAGGCCATGTGTCTTTGTGTACAACATGTATCTAAAGAACAAAGATGTTTTCATAACTGGGCCAGATAACATGACACAAATTGAAAATAACTTATGTTCTGCACAATTTTTCTTCAAACAGAATCAAGTCATACCTACACATATATTGTCTATATGAAAGAATTGTCACTGTACAATGTGGTGCTTCTCAAAGAGAATCCAAAACAGCCAGTGAGATCATAGACAAGCTGCCACCCCCAGGGGCCCAGTGTACCCAGCTGTTCTCAACCCAAATTCAGTGACATCAGGTGGCTTTTCACGGCCATGGTAGAAGAAGTTGGCTACTACTCTAAGGCAGGCCGTTGCTAGGTCTTTTTTATTTTTCCTTTTCCTTCCATTGCTTTTCCTTCCCTCCTTCATTTATCCCTTCTTCTCCTCCTCCTTCCCTTCCTTTTGAGACAGCCTTCAACAGGCATCAGAACACCACTGATGACAGGCACCAACGTTAACTGGAGTCACCAGCCACATGCAGCACTATGCATATTCATGGGAACTTTTCATCATTAGAGAACTCCTTACATATTTGCACACAAAGACTCTTCTTGTACTATGATAAGATTCCAAAAATGTAAATAGGAACCGAAATGAAAAACGCATTTGCCTTTTGTTTTCTAGGTTCAAGGACTACTTCTATATGTAATGTAGACAAAAGGTAGGTACTACATACTGTACTGGATGACTGCTTTAGTGCCACAGAGGACACTGAGCCTCTGAGCACAGGAGCTATTTCCCAAGGTTACAAAGTTGGTTACCCACAAATACAAATCTTGATCTCAATCTTGGTCTCAACTGAGACATTTAAAAATATTGGTTTTAAGGTTCACTCCAGAGGACCCAGTATAGGCAGATGACACCTGGACATGGGCATAAGTCATATATGTTTCCAGCTATGAATTCGAAGACAGAAGAGTTTGTGTTATAAGAAGACTGCAGTGAGCCAATGTCCCAGCTCCAGGAAGACCAATGAACACATAAAGAGAGTGTGACAGAGTACAATGCTATCTTACTCTAAGCTTTTCCCTGAAGTTTTTCAGTGTCTTTTTTTTAATTAGTGCATACTTCCATCTGAGATGACTACACTCCTGTGTGGAGTTGGGACATGTATATAATACAGTTTAATTCCTCTTTTTCATCCTCTTTCCTTCCATCATTTAGTCTTCTGGATTTTATCCAAAACAATCCACACAAGAATAGACGTTTTACAGCAATAGCCTACATATCCATTCTCTTGACTATACAATGAATGTCTACTGTATTTGTCTTATCACATATTTATCTGTCAAGATTCTTTCAGTCCATTTTTGGTTTTGATTCATAGTAAAAGCTACAAATATTGGTACACTTTAGCCATAAATATTCTGGCATACAAAATCATTGACCTAGAGCCCAAAATTTGTTGATGGTACTTCATTTAAGTAAAACTTACAAACAAAGAAAACTGAAAATCTTAAGGAGATTTCCCTTTAACTAGTTTTGACAAATGTAGACAACTCTGTAATTCAACTTATAGAATTATAGCCCATTATTTGCCTTGCAGAAAGAAATAAAACTCTGTTTTACAGAATAATAAAATCATATTAAAACCAAAGTCATGATCAGCAGTGTTGCTGGTAATCCTAACACCTCTGAGAGCCTGAGACAGGAGGATCTCAAATTCAAGCCAGATTGGACAAGCTGGCAACTCAGCAAGACTGTATCACAAAATACAATAAGGGATGTAGATGAAGGTCCTAGGACTGATCCCTAGCACCACTAAAATAATTAGGTCAATTAATTAATTAAACAAAACCAAAATTGTTTGCACAATCTGGTTAATACAATATTTAACATAAATTTAAAAATTAGAAAAAGAAGTCAGTTTGAACAAAACCATGATTAAAAAAAAAACAGGGGGCCTGCCCCTTAGCTCAGTTCTTTAAGTGGTTGCTTCAACAAAGCAGTCAGGCTCAGGTTGCTGTGGTTCGATCCCCACAACTCAAGCCAGCCAAACCTGCCCTGAAGGCATTTGGAGAGAAAAAAAAAAAAAAAAAAAAAAAAACACCAAACAGGTAACAGCATAAACACATACTGTGTAACTAATGAGAATATAAAAAACTAAAGTACGTAATTGATAAAAATATAAATTAAAAACTCTGTGCATGGATTGGACAGAATAGATATAGCTAAGAAAAAAAACTAGAGGAAAATACCTAGAATGAAAGAGGGAACCAGCTGGGAGTGCAGCTGAGTGGGGAGTGCTCACCTGCTGGCCCAGGGCCTAGGTTCCCCAGCACACAGCAAGTTCAGGAAGGAGAGGGAGGAAAGAAAAGGTTAAGTAAATAAGAAGAGATGGTAAGAGGAAAACTACAAAGAGAAGACTATCCTACACATGCTTGGAGACACAGAAAGAAAGACAAGGAGGACAGAAACTACATAAAGAAAATATGACTGAGAATTTTGAAAAATCAATGAAAGCTATAAAGGTACAGATTGCAGATTAAGAAAGATAAGCAGGATAAATACAAAATCCATTACAGTAAAACTTTTGAGAACCACAGATCACCAGAATATCTGGAAAGCAGCCAGAAGAATAGTCTCATTTTCTCCAAAGAAAGTGTTACCTGACTCACCATGACATCTCACAAGGATGCCAGGACACAGGACAATGATCCATGAAGTGCAGAAGGCAGACAGCTGCTGCAGCAGAACCTGACACCCAGTAGGGTACAGTGCAAACATGAAATGCAGATGTCTCCAGAAGGAGCACAAGACCAAGAGACTTGACCAGGAACAATGCTAAAAATTAACCCTTCAGGTAAAATGAATACTATCAAAGGCCAGATACTTAGGCAGAAATAAACATAATAGGGAATTTGTAAAAAATCTAAATGAATTATACACATGACTATATAAAAGATATAGCTTGCACACACACACACACACACACACACACTATATATATAACAAAAAGAAAGGAGTAAATGTACTAATGTGTATAAACTGAAATATTAGATTTTACATTAGGGATGTATGTTGTTAACCATTAAAATAATTACAAAGACTGTGAAACTACTAGTCTAATTAGAGAGAAAAATTGAGATACTAACAACAAGCAGCCTGAATGAGTTCAATACAATTAGAAACCATAAAGACAGTAAACTTACACACAGGAAGAACAGTTGCTATGTTACATATAAGTGGAATAGTGCACCCATAAAAAGCAGTGGCTACACCACTGGATTTAAACCACCAGTTGAAAATTCTTATCTGTGACTTATAAAAGGATATCTAAGACACTAGGGTGCAGAGAGGCTGGGAGCAAAAGTCAGAAACAGATGTACCATGCAAGCACTGATCAAAAGAAACTGGCAGATGCATCCACAGACTGTGAAGCAAAAAGAAACAAAGATACAAGCGTTGGGCTTCTCACTAGGCCTTCCACATCACAGCCTCTCACATTTCTCATTTCTGTCTCTTGGACATAGATTTAAGATGACTTGCTCCTTCACTCATTTTACTCTCTCTTCAGCTCCTTCTAATCTGCTCTTAAATGTGCCCACTTAGGTTTCTTTTAACAACCCAGTTAACACATGGTTTTCTGCCTATTTCTGAAGTTCTATTTTCTCCTATGCCATTCGGTTAGTTTCTTGATTATGGCAAATGTTTTCAAGCTTGTTTATTTTCTTAAAAAGGATAAGCCTATCCAGTCTACAGTTTTACTTGTAGAACTAAAGCCCTTTTGAGGCTTTCTTGCCTCTGATTTGTATGTTTAGAAAAGTTCTGTCTTACAAATTTTCAAGTGTTCCAACCAGTGACCCAAGACTGTCACTCACAGCTAATCATATGCAAAGGCAAAAGGCTAACCCTCAGGATCTTAGCGCAACTGGAGGAAGAGAGTGCTAGGGGGCCCACTTGAAAATACTCAGTGACAATGCCAACAGAGCTGTGGTCAGGACCATGCAGCCAAGAGGAATGACTGTTACACACAGAAGCAAGACAGACAACTCTGGACTTAATCATTCTAAAATCAATTCCAGATGATGACACCATATACTTTTATAATATAATTAGCAAATGAAGAGAAGCTGAAAAAATACAAGTCTGCTAATTTCTTTGCATATTTCACAGCAATGAAATGAACAATGCTATCTAAAAGTATAACATATGGTTTAAAAATAATTTCAACGCCTTAATACTATAATCCTTTTAGAGACAAATCTTTTAAAATTAATATTTCTTATATAAAAAGAATATTTATTTGTATTTCAACATTTCTTTCAGTTCTGCTTTATATTCTTCTGTCAAATTCAAGTAAAATAAAATTCAGAACTGTTCATTAAAGATACATTAAAGATTCATTAAGAATTAAAGATACTACTGTCATGAAGTTATTTTCCCAGCCCCTGGCACTTTTTCTTATCTACTCTTGTCGCCACCTGGGGTGACCTGTCTGGCTCCACGTCACCACTCTGTCTGTGGTTGCCTGCCTGTCTATACTTGCTGATTTCTATCTCTCTACTCAGTAGGCCCCTGATCCACCTGCTCACTTCCATCTCTGCCAGCTGGCCCATCTACACCTACATGTCCATTCTCCAACACCTGACATCTAGTTTGTTTATGCCTATCAGTTCATCTGAGAGCACCTTGTCATCTGCCAGCTGTTTACTGTCTGTTTCCATCCAGAGGTCACATCTACCTAGCTGTCCAAGCCAGCAGATGTATGTACACAGAAATACCCTACAGGCTCCCAGCCAGCTCCTGTCCCCACATCACAGGGAATGCGGAGCATCAGCATGCTTGCTGTTCTCAGCAGGTTCCCACACATCTCAAATCCCGGCTGAGAAGTGCACTTCTTAAAATCCCATTTTAAGTTTTAACAACCCTGTAGTTTAATCTTCAAATATATTCATTTAAATTAAAAAAGAAACTCTAATGAAGTAAATCAGATGTTGTCTTCCATACAAATAAAACTCAGCACTGACCAGCAACAGCAAGGAAACAGGTGGAACCTACACAGAGGCACACCTGGGGATGGAGCCCAGCTGCACACAGCAACTCTGCCTGTGCTGGGTTAGGCACACTGTAGAGCTGGGCAGGGTGGCCAAGGGCTTTCCATGCCTTCTGACGGTCCCCACCAGATGTCATGGCATGTCCCCCAAGTGGTAAAGCATCCACCTACAGCACTGTTCCTGGATGACAGCTCGGCTCTGGTGTAGGCCATGACGTCCCTCATGCTGCTAAGTGTCTCTGGGGCTCTGGATCTGATCTCATCGGGCTTGCTCCCTTGCCCACACCTCTGGTCTTTTTCCCAGTACAGCTCTTCCCAGCACCTTGTCATCCTCTGGATTTCTACACAGCTCTGCTAGTGCAATGCGTAGGCCTCAGCTTTCTCTTCTTTTACTCTGTTTCCCTCCTGATCATAAGCAGTGTTATCAAATGGGTACAGTGTGGCTGTGTGCAAGAAGCACCTGAGTCCTCTGTGCTACTAGGCCTGAGTTGCTGGGCTCTCCTACCTGCCTGAGGCTGGTTTGCTAAGGAAACATGAAGGTATTTGTTGAATTGCCCTTTCTTGGGTTCAAAAATAAAATAATCCTTTTTGTGGAACACAAAAGTCTACATGATAAATTAAAAGGAGAATTAGAAGGCCCATTCATCAGTCCTGGAGTTTGGGGTCTTTTTTGGAGTGCCATGGGTAAAACAACTTGGAGAGACCCTCAGCTTGTACATGACAGAAACTGTCCCCCAGCATCCTTAGCAGTGATAAAAACTGCAGGGTTGTGCCTCAGGGGACACATCCCTTCCTCTTCCAGTTTCCCAGGCAAGTGAGGGGCCTCCTCTGTGCCATGCAAAAATATTACATCCTGCCAGCGCTCAGAACAAGGGCACAATACTCACAGACCAAAAATTCCAAAGCCAGGAGCTCAAATCAACTTTGTTTCTCTTCATGTTGACTGATCTCAAGTATTTGTAACAGTAATGGAAAGCTCACTAACACAGATGTGAATAAAAATCTCTTCAATGTACTTGTAAAGTGTGTGCATGCACACAGACACCCATGCTCATGCATGTGCATGTGCACACACGGACACACACACACACACACACACACACACACTGACCTGGCGAAATACTTCATTCACAAAATTGACATAGCCACGTGTGGACAGGAGGATCCGCTGCACCATTCCATACACCAGCCGGTGCTCTTCCTCGATGCTGCAGAGGCTGGAGCTGCTGAGTCTCCGCTCAGACAAGGTGCTGCTGTTGGAATGGCCCTTGTCTTGCTCTGGGGGCCCACCACCATCCAGCTCCGACACCCGCTCAGGCGCTGCACCACCAACGGTCTGCAAGAGGTCAGTATACTCCTCAGGCCTGTGCTCCTGCTTGTGAGCACCTCATGAGCCTGGATCTTCACCTGTCTTTGGGTCTTGTGGGGGGTTTGTTGCTGTTTTTCTTTTGTGTGGGGACTGAACTGAGGGTCTCCACATGCTGAGCACATGCTCACCACAGAGCTACACCCAAGCACCTGGTCCTGCCCTATTTGGAAGCCCTCTGCTCACCACCAATCTTCACGAGGTCATCCCGGAGCCTACACTCCCCAGGCCTCCATGTGGCTATCGACTCCTTCCCCGGCTCTGTTGTTCACAGAAAAACTACCATCATTTCAGAGAAGGGGATTGTGAATTTCATTACCCCCAAAATTTAATTTGTATTTGTGAAATCCCACTATATTCATGTGCAAATACATGTGTACTACAATCACATTAGATCTCATCTGCATGTCTGCATTTACTCTGTGGTCACAAGGATGTAAAAATGTGGGGACACAAAGCTTATGCAACATCCTGACATGGTGTGGCAAGGTCTCTACTGGTGCTTTATGAGAAGAATCTGGATCCAGGCTTCATTCTCAGTCTCAGTTGAAACTTAACCAAAATATTTATGGAACTTTAAATACTTAGAGGGCTTTGGAAGAAAAAGGAATACAGCAATCCATACAATGACTCCGAAGCTTAATGCTGAGCTCTGTTCTCATTTCTGTATACAAGTAAGGCTTCTTCAAACTAATCAACTCTGCTTCTTCTTAAATTCCATTTTACTTTTTAATGTCAGAAATATAAAACTCAAATATCTGTATTTTTCCCACTAGAAATATTTCTTACAAGACATGATAAGATATGGGCATGATAATATACAGTAATTTTAGTTACCACCAAGATGTTAGAAAAACAAAACAGATAACCCATCATAATCTCTAGGGAAAATTAACAGAAGGTTATATTTATCATAATTTTTCTACTCTTGCCTTAGTGACTAAGCCTGTGTGGCTCATCAAATGTGCTGTCACACTGTGAGACATGCTGCCCTATAGAACCCATTTCATCTCTTTGATGGATCTACTATCTTTCAAGGAAATACAAGTGTACTCTTTTTATCCTTCTTGACCTAGAGATTCAGCTGGAACAACCTCAGGTTGGGATGAGTATGGTACAAAAAGGAAGCCCCAGTCAGGTACCAAAGGGCTTGATTCTACCCTGTCAGGGATGTTACTCTGATTTCATGTATTTTTTACATTTAAGTTTAATTTATACAGCAGAGAGGTTGAATTACACTTAATGTCACTTATGGCTCAATAAACTGCGACTTCTAAGCTGATAGATCCCATTTTCTCTGTGGGCTTGAAAGAAAATATCATGCACATGTGTAGCAAATTAAAGATGGAACCAATTTCCAGACCTCTTTCTAGAGCGAGGTGTGGAAAGCACTCTGGCCTCATGTGCAGCTGCATGTGCACTACTGTCACCTGAGCTCTGTGGTCCCTGCCCTCTGCTCTGCATGGACTGTGCCAGGCCAAGCCTGTGCTGATGCTCAGCAATTCCCACCTTGGGGCCCACAGCAGCCAGGTGAGAGGTCCACCCACTCCAGTGATGAAATGGCCTGGAAAGGGGTCCTGGGGGGGGGGTGGGCAGCCTCCTTCCTGCTGGCCACTAGGAGAGCTGCACAAATGGAGCCTCCACAAGGTTGGAATCCTCCAAACCAAAGGCCATCAGCTAATGATCACTATCCTGTGACCTCAGACGATGTCACATGTCACACACATAAGGAAAGCCAAATCTTACCCCCATGCCTGACCCAAAAAGTGAAAGATAATGAGAAAAAGTTGCTATAATAAGGTGATTTATAGCACAACAACATACAACATATATAAAGAATTATGTTTAAAGATATTAAGTTGGGGGCTGGAGAGATAGCTCAGTGGAATAAGTGCTTGCCTGGCAAGTAGAAGGTCCTGAGTTTGATCCCTCATATCACCAAATAAACAAATAAATAAAGATATTAAGTCACTTAAAAATAAGCGTACTAGCTGGCCATAGTGACATACATCTATAATCCCAGCACTTGGGTAGCTGAGACAGGAGGACTGCTTTGAGTTCAAGGGCAGGCTGGGCTACATAGTGAATTCAAAGCCAACCTCAACTACATATCTGTCTCAGAAAACAAAACGAAACAAAAAACTAAACTCAATGAATAAAACAGAATGGTAACACAAGTGGGCTTTCCATCATGTTACGAAGTTTACAATTTCCTTAATAAAATGGTGTGTTTAATGGTCTTATCTACTTGTCTAGTCCACACTTCATGTATAAAAAACTACTTTTCAAAAGTATCTATATGGTTAGAGAAACATTTATAATTACGGTGAGGGTGAGGCTAAAAGCAAACTGAATATATAAGTTCTGTCAGTCAGCTTTCCATCTCTGCAATACAATTCTTGATAGCTGCACTCTAAAGGAGGAGAGGATGACTTTGGCTTTAAGTTTCAGAGATTTCAGTCCATAGTCAGCCTGTGGGAGGAAAGCTGCTCACCGCATGGCACCCAGGAAGCAGGGTAAGGGAAGAGCCCAGAGAGGAAGGACTGGGGCCAGACAGCGGGCCAAAATCATGTCCCATGAACCACTCAGAGATACTAAAAAATGTTCTTCACAGACCTAAGCATCTCTCACACAAGGTTAACCCTCACACAAATCTATCTATTTTTGAAAGAGAATTAGTCCTAGAGAGAGGTCCTTTTTCTACCCACTAGAATTAGGACAAAATTCTCAATTGTTACTTTGAGTGGGTTGATTCTGATGGTCAAGGCAAAGATGACATTTATTCTTTGGCATTTAAAGAAGACTTAATCAATAAAACAAACATATCTATCATGACCGGAGCTCAGAAAACTGCATGCTATAGGTTGTCACCCTTCTCCTCAGCTCTCCCAGCTACCATAGTGCCCTCTGATCTCTGGGAGCCCCACAGCTCACAGGAAAACTCTTCACTTGGGCTCAGGTCAAATGACACCACCTATAAAGCTAGCAGCTCATGAGAGAGCCAATTGCTTACTCTAACTTTGTTTTTCATTTTCTGGTTGACTTCTTTGGGTCCTGCATAACATCTCTTTCTGAAGGGCTTGCTTCCCTTCTGGGGACCAGTCACAATGTCCTGAGCTGTGACACCAGACTGCACCTGGCAACAAAATCCACCCCACCCCCACCACCATAAACTGCAGTCTCCTGAGGGCCTCCAGGTGCTAGTGATGGCTGACAGAAAGAAGTGAAGCCTCTGTGCTGTACTCAAATAGGGGAGCAGGCGGAGGGTGAAAAGAGGCCATGCACACACACCTCCCATAGCAGCTCTTGCTGGAGCCATGAGGTCATGGCAATGCCAGAAGCACACAGCCAGTGCTGCTGCCTCATACCCTATCTGAGGTCAGCATTGTAGACCTCCTGTAGGGTAGGACAGCGATGCCTCTCCCTAGGAACAATGGCACCACCTGCTAACTATAACCAAGGAGTGGCAGCATTAATGTGTGTTGTTAAATATTCTGAGATTTACAAAAGGGAAGAACTTAAAATACCAGTTTATGCACTTCAGTGGTTTTCAAAAAATAATTTTTCTACATACAAAATAATCAATAATGACAGATAAACAAAGACACCATTTTCTTGGTAATTTCCCAAAGCAATATCCTTAAGTGTGCATCTAGTTATCTCTCTTACTACTCTAGTTTGCTCATACAAGGTTGGCTTTTATTTCCTTTTTATTTTTTTAAGAGAATAAAAAATAGCAAATGAATATGAACAATATAGAAGAATAAACTTTTTATTGAGTTAAATTCTATAAATTTTTCAATGATTAAATCAACTTCTATGATTAAAATAAAAAAATATACTCTTACTTTTCGTAGTTGGTAACAGTTTGTGCCATTTATATATGTAAGTAAAGGAGGGAAGAATTGCATACCTGCATAATTTTAGGTAACACATCAACTCCATTTTTAGTGTTTTGTGTTGTAGGTAGATACTTTTTTTCCAAAAAGAAAGTTACAATCCACTTAATAAAAATGACACGAGCTGCCATGTATGGAATCTTTGTGCTGTAAATGCTCTCGCTATCTCGAGTTGTGGTAATGTACAGAGGCTTTGGTCTCCAATGGGGGATGTCTGGAAAGAAACAAGAATGAACAAGTGATTAGGTTGGTGACACTTAACACAATGTTGTGCAACCCCAGCAATGTTTCAGTTTCCACTAAAATAAACATGTACTGATTAGCTGAAGAGCAAACTAAGAAGACCCAGAAATGGTTAAAAATAGCATTTTTTGGCAACTTATGTCTTCTGGCCTTGTAATCTAACTAATAAAGGAGGCGGCTCCTGTTTACATATAGCTGAGGAAAAACTAGGTCAGCAGCTCTTACATGAAACTACAACAGTAAAGATCTCTTCATATACACTATACCTATCTTAACCTTTATTTTATGACTGGAACAAATATAAAATTATACATGAAAGTTTAAAAAATCATTTTCAATACAATGTCTAACACTGAAATGATTAAACCCACTGAATGTTAGTCTTATATTCTTTTCCCTTTACATGAATCTAAGGAAACACAATCAGCATAACCTACTTTTCGTCTAGAGTTCAGAAACCATATTTCATCTTTGAGGTGTCAGATGTTATCTTGCTGAAGAATTAGCAATGAGGTCTATTTCTTATTTCTAAAATTCTACCATCAATATAAAAACTATAGAATTGGGTTTGCAATTTTACCTGCCATACATCCAAATTTTAATCTTACTTAAGTTTTGTATACCTGGACTATCTGCATGAAGTAGAAAAATTCTCAGTAAATAACTTCTAACCTAGTAATATAACAACATAACATGTTTTTAAAATGAATATACTATCTATAAAATCAGAAATAATTTTGAAAAATATCCACATAATCAGCTTAAAAATATACATTCAAGCTTCCTTAAAAATCAGTACTATTACATTTTTGTGTGTATGTGTGGTATCGGGGATGGAACTCAGGACCTTGTGCTTGCCAGGAAAGCACTTATTCTAATGAGCTATTTCTCTGGCTATTACATTTTTCAAAATGCACCAGGCATCAGCTACTCACTCAGCCTCTGTGTATTTGTCCATGTGTGTGCATGCATTTGTGTGCATGTGTGCATAGGTGCATGGCATGTGCATGTATGTATGTGTGTAAAGACTTTGGCTCTCGGTCTTTCCCCACCAGAACTGTCCTGAATGCTTCATTTGAACTAATTTTATCTGCTTTAAGTAATAGGGAGGAGTTCCCACCCTGCTTACACCTGTTTAAGTGACATATCTGTTGTGTGAATCATTTCTCTTTTTTTGGTTTAAATTTGAGGTTTTTTGAGGTAGAGCCTTACTATGCAGCTCAGGATGGCCTTGGACTCACTATATAGCCCAGGCTGGCCTTGAACTTGCCACAATCGTCCTGAGTACTGGGATTAAAGGCGTGTCACCATGCCCAACAAATCCTCATTTCTTGGAGAGGGAAAACTTGAGGAGCTAAGTTTGAAATTTCTTTTGTATATGTCAATACAATTATACCAAAAATATGATATATTTTAAATGATTTCCTAGTATACAAGCCATGATTCCCCTTTATTGCTGAGAAGTGAGGCCCCTTAGAGGGCACACATAAAGAAAAGCTCTTATTAACAACTGTTAAACATCTACAGTCACCACCAATACAAGAACAAAGTGGCTATCTCACTTTATAATAATCAAAGGTGCCACTATGAAAGAGACCGTGCAGCTACCTGGGGATGTCGCCTACACATAGCCCAGACAGTACTTACCAAGTACAGGTTTGTAGATGTTTGTTAACTTAGCAAATGATGGAAATAAATGAGGAAGATAATACTTTCGAAACAATGTAAAAAGAAATTTAAAACCAGTATCTTGATTTTCTTTATTCTTCCACTCCAAGCTTGCAGCCTTTGGATAATATGTGGAAAAGAACATATGTATATTTACACTTAAAATTAACATATATGAAAATGAAATGCTGTTATGATTAAAGTTTCTATTATCCTAAACTTTTAAAAATGACAAATAATATTGACAATCATGTAATAAAATCATATTTTAACAAAGTTCAAAAGATGACAGAAATGGATTTTCAAAAAGAAATATGGTATCATATACTTTTAAACTTGCTCTACTACATGATGCCTATATTTTTCCATGTGTTGTCATGTTTAAACATTCCTTGTGTCAAAAAATTAAGCAGAAAAAATCTGTGACTTTTTTCTCTGAATTAAAAAAGGCCATTTATAAATAAAGAGGAGTGAAAGAAATCCTCTTCTTTCATCCAATGTTATCTAAATACACAATCAATATCAAAAGAAGTAAGTTACAGGATTGGGACAAGCATTCTCATTAAGAACAATTCACAGGTTCAAGTAAACCCAGTCTTGTCAGTCCAGCAGCAGGCTGAGTTTAAAGCTTTCACAGTATTGAAATAATATTCTGTCCTCAAAAGCCCAGGCAGTAGGAGCACCCTAGAGCAGCTCAACAGCTGACAATACCCCCCAGAACCAATGACAACCTATTACAGAAGCACCGTCACCCCCATATTACCAAGAGATAGATGGCATGGGGGCTTATGGAGGATCTATCAGTGGCTCTGAACACTTATTAGACCAAAGCAAAGCTTTTAGCACCTTTCAATACGAGCCCACAAAGAAAATGACAGCATCTGAGGTCAAGGGAAGACAGTACTTTAGTCAGCCCAGGGCAGAGGCTCTCAGAGTCTGTGACCTGTCAGGGGCTCTGCTCTGATGACTCACCTCAACAGCAGGAGGGAAGGCAAGAGGGAGGTACAGATATGTACAGCATGCATGCATACTATGGGAGGTTCATAAGAGGTATAATGGCTCAGATCTAGACTATCCCCCAAAGTCTCCTGCAGTCAGGGGTGGGGCTTTTGGAAGGTGTCTGCATCGTAGTGGTGCAGTATTCATCAGTGCACTGACACACTGCTAAGTGCACAGCTAACCTGCCATTAGGACATGGGGCCTGCCAGAAGAAGTGTATTGCTGGGATGTGCCTCTGGAAGGGACATCTCCCTTCCCAGAGCCTCCTCTCTCTACTTTCTGGCTGCCAAGGGGTGAGTGGCTTTCCTCCATGATGCCGCACCCTTGTACCATGATGTTGCTGCCTGTAACTCAGCCATCCATAGACTGAATTCCCTAAAGCATGAGTTGTGTTTCTGCAAGTTGTGGATATCAGGCAAGGCAGGAAGCAATGAGAAAGTGGACTGATATAGGAGGTTCACAGTGCATGTACAAACCCGACCCTACATCAATGCTATCTCACTAGACATAGGGCTTGGGGGGTCATGTGACTTATGTGAGGTCACAACTCATCCAGAACGAGAACCCAACACGTTCAAGATCTAGATGCTCTGTGCTGACTTCTGGGACAAATGAATGCCAACCACTTCTGACCCAGTGGCACTGAATAGGATAAATAGGAATGGAGCCACCAGAAAGTGGCAGAATTCCCTTGTGGGGCTCTTGGGATTTTGAAGTCCTTCTGATTCTAGCGCCGAGTAAAGGAAATGGGGTAAGGCAGATTTCCCAAGACTGAGTACTCAGAAGTGGCCAAGTACTGAATATTTGGAAACAGCAGTGAAAAGCACAGCTTCCCAAAGAAAAGTAGAAATCTGGAATGGAAAAAGACAGGAAGGAAGAGTGAGAGAGACAGAGATATAAGACACAGAGAAATGGAGATAGAGAAACAGAGACAATGACAGACTAGAAAAAAATATCATGAGAAAATTCAATGAAGAAAGGTAATCATGTCAAATCATCAAAGAATGAGTAGAGAAAAACCTAAAGTGTGTCCACCCTCCAGATGGACCCCCAGGCCCACCATGTCCCAGGGCCCAGTGTTGTAGCTGTGACAGGGCAGAGTGCAGGGTACAGTGGGTATCAAGGAATACTACATGAGGAAGCAGGTGTGGCAAAGAGGAGATGGTTCTAGCACGCCAGCTGGGAAGCGAAGAGCAGGGATAAGACCCACCGGGAGTGAGGAATGAGATAAGGGTAAACCGTGTCAGTACAATTTACCCTAACTTTGCTGACATTCAGAAATTCAGACCAAGTGACACAAATTGTCTGGTAACATGCCATGGTTTCAGTTCTGTGTTCCACTAGTGCACCCAGAGAAGGATGGTGTGGCCGAACCCGCTGTGCTCAGGGCTCCCAGCCACTGCTCAGCTCTCAGAAGAGGGATCTGCCTCCCCTCACCCTGTCGTGCAAGGGTTCGGGAAGGGATAAAGAAGAAGTAGTTCAGGCACACCCAGGTAAAACAGTCCATGTGCTCAGTCTGGCTGGTGTGAGCCCACAAAGGTACCCACGCTTGGTCTGTGCACAACACCTGCAATCACCTCAAAGAAAGAATATGAAGACATAGAAGAAAGGAGGTGATATTTTCTCCTTCCTCCTGGAAACTAGCCCTTCACTGAAATAGCTACAGTTCTTCCTCTGACCTGAATGACCATATACTTCAATAGCATCTGAAGGAAAAAGCAGGTTTGGTCCTCAGCTGTTTTCTCCCCTGAGATGGCTGGCAGGAGTGGAGCAATTTCTTCTGGATATATCTTTGCTGCAGGTTAGAAAATAAAAAGAGCTCTTTCACTGAAGTTCAATTTAAACAGTATTTACTCAGGCTGTTTTTAAAAAACCGGCTTTACAAAGATTTAATTGTCACCCTGTGGAGGGTCACACTAAGTCCAAGCTGGTGTGTACAAAAGGCCCACTTCTGAAGGCCACCTCTTCCCTCTCAGACTCTGCTTCTGTCAGCTGAGACCAAGTGCCAGCTGCACAGCAGCAAACCATGGCCCTCAGGAGATTCAATGGAGACTCAGGGACACCGATGGCCTGAAAAGGCCACTGCTATCCTGCTACCAATGCTGCATGGCATGCCCAGCTGGCAAATGAAGACGAAAGCCCTTCTGGAAGGAGCCACAGTGCTGAGGACGGCAGCAGCAGTGCTGACAGGAGGCTGAAACCTCAGCGGAAGACACCAAGCATTTAGTCGTACCATGCGCCTACTTCCTGCCCCTCCAACAGCTGTCCCTCCTGGCCTTTCCCACCTCCACCACTTCAGAAAATTCCTCCCATCATCATTTCATATAACATAGTCTCCAAGTCTGCAGAGCCCAAGGTTTATAAGAAACTACAGAGGACTAAGGGAATAATTCCTCTTCAGATTTCTAGTAAAGAAAAGGAAAACCCCAGGAATTCCTGGTGTAAGTTTCAGAGTGGCTTCTATGAGACCTGTAAACCCACTTACCATCAGCTACACTAGGGCTGGGATTGATGAGGGTCTCCAGCGTGCAGGGCCCCCTGGAGGACAAGACCGCTGGGAAACCAGGCACGAGGCAAGCGAAAATCAGCACCTGCTCTTCTGCACAGTTTGTCTGAAGTGCTTGAAGCCACAAAAGAAACAGCCTGATTCCTTCACATCTTATCTAAAAGCAAATTGAAAATGTATGTGTAGAAATATGTTGTAATGTACATCTTAACAAAGCAAAGCTAGAGTTCAAAGGCACTAAAGTACACTAAGTCCTTCCCTTGGTGAAGAGAGCAATGTGCTGCAGGACACCACAAAGATTAGCATTCTGGAACCAGTGGGCCTGGGTTCAAGTTCAGCCTCTGCCATGTTCTAGCTACGACTCACAGGGCACTTCACTTCTCCAAGCTTTAGCCTCTCCCTGTATAGAACAGGGACAACAGTTTCTACCCCAGAAGATCACTGCAAGCACTGAGTGAATCAGCATATCCAATGCACACAAAGCCCTGTCTGGCTCCCAGTGTGCACTGTGTATCTCCTGTTAACAGTATTTCATTCTGCAACCTCAGTGCTCAACTAGCCACGAGAACAACAAAGATAGCCTCCCTGAAAATTTGCACTATGACTTTGATAGAATTTTGGTCACTGTCTCTAACATTTCATGCTGCTCACATGCTTGAAAATACTTGGAGTGCAAGGAGACCCTGAAGACCTGGCTCAGTGAGACAGAGCACCCCCCGCCTGCCCAAGCCCATCTTTGCCTTAGTATCCTCAGTCTACACCTTTGCCTGCTACACACAGGTAGCATCACCTGGGAGGAGACATCAACACAGGTACATGTGTCCCTTTTCTTCCTCTTCCCTTACTTCCAACATCAACTTATTTTTAGAATCTGAAGTACTCATCTCTCCTTTTCTGTATTTCTAAATAGTTGACAAGATAATGTTCATAAGAGAAACTGTGTAAGCAAAAGGGAATAAAAACTGTGGCAGGCACAGCTGAAAGACGTGGTGAGCTCCAAATCCTGACAACTGGAGAGGCTGCCTCAGTCTCCTGCAACTTTGTGCCAGACCTGCAACTGTGAGCCAGACCCAACGTTCTGGAGGAAAACCAAAGGGCAGCCAATAAGAGGTGTGCACCACATCAGCACACACATTCATGTGCACATGTGTAAGAAAACATTCTCTCAGGCTTTCACAGAGAGCACATTGGCCAAGCAATGGCCCTGACTCATCCACATGGCTGACACTGACAAAGGATCTACAATCTGAGGTACAGGATCTCAGGATAAATCCTGAGGGGATTTCACTGACCTTATCAGACCCAAAAGCTACAACTCTTGTTGCATAAGTCCTGCTTTACCTTAGTCTTAACCATCCAGCAGAAAAGTATAAAAACAAAGTATAAGAAGTAAAGCCATGCTGTTATGTTGAGCTGTAGGGGACTCAGGTCAACAATTTCTGACACTGCCAGTCAAGCGGAAGACCCAATACTATTATGGACCTCTGAACTCTTTTAGAATATTTTGCTGAGTTTACACACCTATAATATTTAAATGATGGAACTTAACAAAAAAAGGGGATACAGATGAATGTCCATTTTGTATATGTGTATTCAAAGTGGTTAGGATAGATATATAGTTACATTCTCTTAATGAATATAGAGGGATTTGTTCTAATGGTGTTTGTAAATAGGATATCATGTCTGCATCTTGTACAGCAATTAACCACTAGGAAGAATGTATGCAATGTGTTAATTATTGAAACTGTCCTACCAATTTGGTTTGAAACTGTCTCGTTGCTATTTGTTTCTCAATAAAATTATGGAAAAAAAAAAAAAAGCCTTTGATGCCCCAGCTGGCCATGGTGCTATCCCATTAACTAAGTGGGTACACAGCGTGCTCCCAGACATGGCCCTAGACCCCATCACTGCTCGGCATGAACCCCACATGCGCCCACCCCTGTCTACTTCTCCTCTAGCAGGAAAGTGAGTGGTACTGCTGAGTACCCAACACAACTCAGCCATCAGACAAAACTGCTGCTGCTCTCTCCATATATAATTAAACATCAAACAATACATAATGAGAGCAGTGTCTACTGAATTCTATTACAAGTCTTCAATTGTTTACGTTAACTGAATTTAAGATAACTAGATAGAAATAGGGTAACAATAAATATAACCGTGTTGTGGGTGCTATTGTGGTTATTGTTGTTTTGAGGCAGAGTCTCTCTATATAGCTCAGCCTAACCTTGAACTCACTATGAAGCCTAGGATGACCTCAAGCTTGATGGAATCCTCCTGCCTCAGCCTCCTGAATGTGGGATTATAGCCATGTGCCATGACGCCCAGCTGTAATGGCTTAACCACAGATGATTTTTTTTTTAAATAAGAAGGGAAAATATGGAATCTACAGTGGCTATAGAGGCTATAGATTCAGTATTTCTTTTACTCAACATGTAAGCAGCAGTTAACATATCAAATTTATATGGCTGGCATTGTTTAAAGTGGTATAAAACCAGGACTGTATTAGCCTATTAAAGACACATACACAACTAAATTAGCTACAGTGAATGATCTCCCATGAGGTACTATTCCCAGGCAGGCTTCAATCTGCCACTCATGTTTTGCGGTCACCTTATCCCAGCATTAGTTAATATTATATCATTATAAAAAGTATTCTTGTTTTCAAACAAGCCACTTTTAACCTAATCCCACTATCAACCTGCTGCAAATGAACAAATGCTCAACAGAGAGGCTCTACTGCTCTTCCCCTACCTACCACCCAGCGGTTCTCAAAATTAGGAAACTCAATTCAGAGACAACTATAGTTATAACCACCAGATTGCCGCTGTGGGGAGAATCAGACTCATCAGAGTTGACACATGGAGGGTCATGGAGCGCTGACCCTTGGAGTGCCACGGACTCTTTCAGGTGACAAACTGGCCTGGCCGCCACCCAGCCTGGGCCCTCAGCTGCCCTGAGCAAGGGCACAGTAAGAACTCAGTGCTAAGCTCCAGAGCCCAAGCCACTCTCCCCTACTATGACCTGAAAAATACCTCATAACACCTCACGGTGTACAAAGAAAGATCATTTAATAGTAAGGAACACAGAATTTCCCGAAAGTTAAGACTAAGTCAACTGACTTGAAAGGTATCTTTTTAAAGTATATGCCTGCAAAATAAATTTTAAAAAATAAGATGAAGTATTCAGTATATAGCCATTCCATTCATCCTGGGGAGTGCATACACACATATATTACCAAGATCATGTCCTCCCCGCCCCCAGGTGCTCTGCCCACCTCCACAGTCTATCTCCTTTCCCACACCCTGTCTTGTTTTGTTTCGTTTTTTTGTTTTGTTTTTGCTTCCTTTCCATAAGGGGATAGATGGATCCTAAGACCATAATATTAAGTGAAATTGGACACAGAACATTAAATATTACACGGTTCTCTAATGAGAAATCCAAATTATAAATAATTTAAAAAATAGAAGATGTTTCCTCAAAATGGCTTAACTTTTCTATTTTGTAGCATTAATAAATTTAAAAGTAATGAAAAAGACATTACTTTTTTTCTAAAATAAATACCTTTATAGAATTTCCAGTGTGTAGAAGCTTCTTTAAAGTTGAGCCTAAAAATAAAAAAATGAAAAAAATGAATCAGACATACAGTATATAAGTGAAACATAATTTTAAAAAGTCGGTTTTAGAAAGAACAACTACATTTTGATCAAAGGCATTAAAAATAAAGGTTGCCCTTCAGAAGCAAGAAAAGCAAGTTCGTTCATACAAGAAAAAATATTTTTAAGACAAAAACACTTCAACTATGTTCCTCCTCAAAATCCTTGAAGAGTCAAAATGATTCATATTGTTGCAATACAAATGCCTGGCGTGTTATATAGGAATACCCTTGTCATTCACAACATAAAAGATTTTTGTTTTAATGCTTAAAGATAAAAGCACAGGCTGGGGGCTTGATCCCCAGGCCTGCAGTGCCAGCCCCGCCCCCAGGGCACACTGAGACAGCAATTGAGACTGGGTGTGGTGGTGTGTGTCTGTAATCCTAGCTTTGGGAGGCTGTAAACAGGCAGATCACTACAAGTCTGATCTAGTAGTGAGACCCTGAACACCCTGTACACCCTTCCCTAAAATACAAAAAACAAAAAACAAAAAACAAAAAACAAAACAAAA